TATATATATATAGTTCCAAAAGTCATAGAAATAGCCAAACAAACAATACCTGATAATCGCGACCTCAAAATCTCAAAGTTCTATCTGACATTTTGGCTGTATTGAGTTACTAAAACCACGAGGTCAGAAAGCAATTGTTCTATCTGCTCTGTCAAAATCGTAAGATGATCCGGGAGTTGTTATCAAGATATTCAAAGAATTGCATTTTTAAAAACTTCACATGGTATGGAACTCAAAACCTTTGACGTTAAATTTCTCACAACTAGGTACTGAGCAGTGAGAACTTTGTCATTCTCAGGTAGCATCATTCAAACAAGTCCCCAAAAACCGTTGCCAAAAAAAGCAAAACATGCAGTGTATAAGTAGAGGGAGGAATGTAACCGTTGCCAAAAAGAACACAATAAAGTCCCTCAAAGGGGGACTGCCCAGTTTGTCACAGGTCCAGTTTGTCACAGGCCCAGTTTGTCACAGGCCCAGTTTGTCACAGGTCCAGTTAGTTGCAGGCCCAATATGAACTGAATTTTATTTTTCAATTTTTTCTTTACAAAAGAACATTCATTGTTGAAATTTTACAGAGTAATTTAAATTTGCTTTGATTTGCATACAAAAAAAGGAAAAAATGTTGAACAACACAAGCTGAATTGACATTTTAGAGGGACTTTAGGGCCTGTGACTAACTGGACCTGTGACTAACTGGCATGCCTACGTTTTCAGATGTTGTACCCCTCTCAGTCCAGACTGGCACTCACACCCAGTAGAGTCCCCCCCCCCCCTCCAAGTATTCCCAGCTCAGTTTGGTGGACGTCAGAGAGAGGGCAACAAACACAAGACATGTATGTGAGGAATCGGGCAGAAAACCGACGCTCGTCAAATCAACCACGAGGAGGGAGAAGTTTTCCCTCCTGTTGTGTCAGCAAGATCTCTGGATATGATTTTACTAGAATTGATGAAATGTATAACACCACAAGTATAAAAAAAGATAAAAAGTATTATAAACGACCCATCACACCCCCTTTCCATGAAAAGTGTAAGATCACGCAGCGGCAGATATGTACCTCTAAAACAAAGAAAGAAAGATATAAAAGACGTTTTTTCCTATCTAGCATAAGGAAATTGTCAGAATAAGCATCAGTGTGTATTGCTCTTTAGAGTATGTATCTGTATAATTCTAAAGATCCTGTAATTAAATTCCTGCTTGTAGTTGAATGATGCATCTGATGTGATTTGTACATTTTGTCAGCTTTACTTTTCTTTTCATATAAAATTTTAATGAGAGTAATATATTATATTTTATTTGTTTATGTATACCTGCAGGTGTTTTTACAGTCCTGTATAGCCAAGAAAAATGTCCCTCTTGGATAACAAAGTATTATCTTATCTTATCTTATCTTATCTTATCTTATCTTATCTTATCTT